TTTTACGCGCTCAGAGGCTTCCTACTCATGCAAGTTGTTTTTTATCCTTAACTATATATAAAAATGGCATAAGTTTTAAGAACAAATGAGACGAATCTGTTGAGTTTCAGATGCAAGTTGTTTTTTATCCTTATTTATATATAAATGACATTGGGTTTTCAGCAGAAATTAGACAACTCTGTTGAGTTTCACATGCAAGTTGTTTTTTATCCTTAGTTATATATAAAAATGACATTAGTTGCGCTCCGACGCGCACTCCAGGCTGCAAAAAAGCCCAAAAAAGCCCCAAAAACGCAGAGATTTGGCTCCTTTTACGCGTTCAGAGGCTTCCTACTCATGCAAGTTGTTTTTTTTATCCTTAATTATATATAAATGAGATTAGTTTTCAGCAGAAATGAGACGAATCTGTTGAGTTTCACATGCAAGTTGTTTTTTATCCTTAGTTATATATATAAAAATGGCATTGGTTTTAAGAACAAATGAGACGAATCTGTTGAGTTTCACATGCAAGTAGTTTTTTATCCTTATTTATATATAAATGAGATTGGGTTTTCAGCAGAAATTAGACAAATCTGTTGAGTTTCACATGCAAGTTGTTTTTTATCCTTAATTATATATAGAAATGACATTAGTTTTCAGCATAAATTACACAAATCTGTTGAGTTTCACATGCAAGTTGTTTTTTTTATCCTTAATTATATATATAAATGAAATTAGTTTTCAGCAGAAATAAGACAAATCTGTTGATTTTTTACATGCAAGTTGTTTTTTATCCTTAGTTATATATAAAAATGACATTAGTTGCACTCCGACGCGCACTCCAGGCTGCAAAATACCCCGAAAAACACCCAAAAAAGACAGAAAAAGACCCCAAAACGCAGAGATTTGGCTCCTTTTACGCGCTCAGAGGCTTCCTACTCATGCAAGTTGTTTTTTATTCTTAATTATATATAAAAATGACGTTAGTTTGCAGCACAAATGAGACGAATATGTTGAGTTTCACATGCAAGTTGTTTTTTATCCTTAATTATATATATAAATGACATTAGTTTTCAGCAGAAATTAGACGAATCTGTTGAGTTTCACATGCAAGTTGTTTTTTATCCTTAATTATATATAAAAATGACATTAGTTTTCAGCAGAAATTAGATGAATCTGTTGAGTTTCACATGCAAGTTGTTTTTTATCCTTAATTATATATAAAAATGACATTAGTTTTCAGCACAAGTTAGACGGATCTGTTGAGTTTCACATGCAAGTTGTTTTTTATCCTTAATCATATATAAAAATGAGGGGCGGCACGGTGGTGTGGTGGTTAGCACTGTCACCTCCCAGCAAGAGGGTTCTGGGTTGGAGTCCCGGGGGAACCAGGACCTTTCTGGGTGGAGTTTGCATGTTCTCCCTGTGTCTGTGGGTTCTCTCCGGGTTCTCCGGCTTCCTCCCACCCTCCAAAAACCTGCATGTTAGGTTGATTGGAGATTGGGGAAATTGCCCTTAGGAGTGAATGTGAGTGTGAGTGGTTGTTGGTCCTTGTGTGTCTCTGTGTGGCCCTGTGATGGACTGGCGGACTGTCCAGGGTGTACCCTGCCTCTCGCCCGTTGACCACTGGGATAGGCTCCAGTTCCCCCCGCGACCCCATCAGGGAATAAGCGGTATTGATAATGGATGGATATATAAAAATGACATTAGTTTTCAGCACAAGTTAGACGGATCTGTTGAGTTTCACATGCAAGTTGTTTTTTATCCTTATTTATATATAAATTACATTGAGTTTTCAGCACAAGTTAGACGAATCTGTTGAGTTTCACATGCAAGTTGTTTTTTATCCTTAATTATATATAAAAATGACATTAGTTTTCAGCACAAGTTAGACGGATCTGTTGAGTTTCACATGCAAGTTGTTTTTTATCCTTAATCATATATAAAAATGACATTAGTTTTCAGCAGAAATGAGACGAATCGGTTGAGTTTCACTGTCAAAAAGCGCCAATCAGTGCGCAGATAGACACTCAGGTAAAGGAGGGACTTTCTGAGAGTCCTTAAGATACTAACACAATCAGTTTTAGTACTTTGAGCTTCATGGGAGAGTCCTCCCAGC